TGTGTATATATATATACACATATGGATGGAGAGGAGAGGGCAGCTCCAGACTCTGTGGACTTGCGCCTAGGTAGTCTCTCAGGGAGAACTGTCAAAGGGGCAGGAAAAATTCTAAGTATTTTCATTGGGGTTTCCGAATAGAGTTGCAGCAAACAAATCAAGGCTTCCCAAAACCCAAGTCTGGGGCTACTATCACAGCTTCTGTCTGTGACGTCTTCCGCGTTCCGAGGCGCGAGCGCATCGTTGGCGAGAACCTGGATAAGCATTCCGCGAAGAGGTGCTCTGGCTCCTGGCTCGCTCGGGCTTCGCTGCAGGTGTCCTATAGTGTCTACATAGCAGAAAGAGCGGGTTTCTACGTGAGGAGGTCGCGTTCTGGTGTGTGAGCGCAAGTATCCCCCGCATATGTACTCCGGATCCTTTGGGTTGTTACCTTGTCGATTTGCAGGCGGCAGACTAGTACACAAGGGCACAAGGCCGTTGAAGCGCAATTTCAGAGCATGGACTAACCTGTTTGCCTCATGCCATTCTCTGTTGCGCTTCCGTATATACCAGGTCCTGAGGCAAGAGTATAATTGTGCTATGATAATTATACACCCTAAATCCGTTAAAGTGTTCTTCAGGCCTGGGTTATAGTTTGACTTCCGAACATGACGTGAAGGTTCCCAATTTGGGCGCGGCCTTCGACTGACACACCGGGTCCTGCGGGCTACAGTGTGGATGACTACACACGCAAGGAGGCCCGCTTTGTGGAAGTATGTATTTCGCTATTGGGACTTCAAAATTTGTGGTGCATCGGATACCTTTTTCCTTCTTTATGCTGGTTTGGGTCATGTCGAGGCCATGGGCTAGGCAGGCTCGCGTCTCGAAAGTGGGAAGTACGGCACGTGGCCAGCCAGCATCGAACCAACATGTGTTGATCGATACACTTCATTCGGCAATCTGCTGGATGTTTAGACTTGGTGCAGGGTGCTGCCCAGACATGTTCGTGGTATGCTTTCTAGCTTTACATGTCAAGTGCTCTTCTACCGGGAGTCGGCGGACAGGTCATGCGGCGGGCGCAAAAATCTTTGCCGAACCTGACCCGGGACATGCTCAGGCTGGGACATTTTTTGGACAAGATTTGGGGACCGTATGCTTTAGGGCTGTAGGGTGTAGGATCTAGAGTTTCGAGTCTTAGGATTATGGCTTTAGTGTAGAGGAATTTGGGGCTGAGTGCAAAGGCTTTAGGGTTTATGGGTATACTGTAGGTCTCGTACAGGAACATTGGAAAGTTTTTACTTGGGTTCGTTTTGAGCATGCTGGTCGCGCAAGCCGTACTTCACTGATTCTTGCGATTGGGGCAGCTGCTGCATCATAGCTTGCTCGTGCCAGGTTCGGTCAGGTCTTAAAGGGTTCAGGCTCAGCCCAAAGTCTGGACTGAACCCAAGCGGCCCCCGATGCAATCTCAAGCCCCAACCAGCACGGGCGGTCCGACCGCTTATTAGCAACCGCTTCCTGCGGAGCAGTCGGTTAGCCTATCCGGATGTTCGGTTCGGGACATGAACTCAGCAGTTGGCTCAGGCAACACAACAATAACCAAACAATTGCCAGTATAAAGGACAGATCGGCACGGCAAAGCCAAGCACACGAACAAGCTACGCAGAAATTGCGGGGCCTGTATGTTCTTAAGCTTGCCCTTTGAAGCAAGAACTGAGCACCCTGCGTGCAATTTGAGCCACACAAACACACGAAACTTAAACCAGTGTACAGATACGTCCACACACCCCAGCAATCAGCTATAAAAGTTTGAGCCGCCGCTGTGAAAGTTGAGTA